CCAATTTGGAAAAGAAAAGAAAAAAGAGGTTATAACGTCATCCTGCAAAGAAGTAGAGATTCAAATTTGGACAATACGGGCACTGGCAACAAGGCAAATCTGGTCCTCTTTCACACCTTTCTCCCTGTAAGCAAACTGAATCATGTTCATATTCATCTTGGCTCTTGCGGCACTTGATATTGAAATGCAAGCACTATCTTAGGAAAAAATGGTTTTCCAAACTGTTGTTCAATATATATTGCTCAATTCCATTCTGTGTTAGGTGTGCATACTGTCATGTGCACAGTTGATGGAGATTTTTCCCCTAATGGTATCACAGGGCTGGTCGTAGCGCCCCTCGAGAGTGCCGTGCTCGTGCACCAGTAAAAGGAGCACCAATGTCCTAATGCCCTCTTAGTCCCTTCTTTCTGGCATCTCTGACAGAGGGGAAAGAAAGTAAGTCGCAGAATGAACATGACCAACACATTTCAAAGCACAGTTACAAAAAGTAGGTAACTTTTTTTTCTTCAAGCACTTGCTCATGTTGATTCCATGTTAGGTGATTCACAAGCAGTACCCCTGTAGGTGCAGAGTGTACAGGCATGCTGACTGTAACACTACTCTCACAAAGTGTGCATTGTCCCATTCCTGATAGTGCACTGGGATGCGATGTTATGAATAGATGACCATGTCATGGCTCTGCAGATGTCCAGGATAATAACTTAAGTGAAGAAGACTTCAGACAAACTGAATTTTTGTTGAATAGGCCAGTCAAGAAGTCCAGGAATGGAACTTCTGTAAGCTTTTAGCAAAACTTGATGCAGGCAGTTACCTAGAGCAAGTCTTCTGGAATGACATAACATTTCACCCTGTCCACTATCAACACAAAGAGCAGCACTGACTGATGGAAGGGTCTAGTCCTCACAATACAGAAGGCCAGGGGACACACCTAAGGCAGGGATTATCAAACTTCATTTCAATGTGATCCCTTCTGACAATAAAAATTACTCCATGGGTCGAGGAGGGGGGATTGAAGCCTGTGCTTTCCTGAGCCCAATGCCCCAGATGGGGTGGTGGTGGGGAGAAAAAGCATAGCTGAAGTCCCAGTGGCCCACCTCAGGCCTGTAACCAAGTCTCAAAATGAAAAACTGAAATCTTGATAATTCAGCTTTAGGTGTTGAATCTAAGTTTGATGACCTAGTCATCAGTGTATGGATAAATCTGTATGCCTCAACATCTCAGATGAGCCTTAACTACCTCAATAGGCTTCATAAAATTCCTTGGGGCTGATTAAAGTCCAAAAAGGAGCGTGGTGAATTGGTATTGGCAGTGGCCCACCACAAATCAAAGGAATCTCCTGTGTCCACAGAAAATGGAGGGAATGATGGGAGGCCAGGGACACCATGCAGAATTTCAACTTCTTGAGATGTTTGTTAATGCTACACAAGTTTAGGACAGGTCTGAGGTCTATCGACCTTTGGAATTAGGAAATATTGGAGTAAAATCCCTAAGTTTTGAGGAATTACTTCTAGAAGCAGAAGGGTCTCTATCTCCTGGATGAGGAGATACTCATGAAAAGGGTCCCTGAAAAGGAGCAGGGAGTGAGGGATAAAAACTGTAGGGTGTATCTGAATGTCAAAATGGAGAGCACCCAGTGGTCCAAAATTATTTGGGACTATGTATATGAAACCGAAACTAACAATACAAAACCAGGATCCTGGACTATGTCTGGCATGCCATCCCCAGGCAGCTTTAATACGTCTGCCTAGGGCCAGCCGGGTATCAACTCAAGCCCAACCAGGAGACAGAAATGGAAGGTGTACGCTTTCTGCTTTTATAGCCCTTCCCTTTCTTTTTGAAGGGCTCATGCCTAGGAGATCCCGAGAACCTGTGTGCTGGTTGCAGCTAGAAGTGTTTTCTGGAGATCAGGGGCATATTTAGCATCATGTGGACCTTGAGTCTTTCAGCCCACACTGTTCAATGTCCATCAGCTCAGAGAACAGGACATTGTCCTCAATAGTGAGGTCTTAGGAGAAAGGCCAGATGACTGCAAATATGTGCTGCACTGCAAAGGACACTGCTATGGCCACAATCAGCTGTATTCAAGGTGCCTGGAAGGGAGGCCCTGGCTACTGCTTTGCCATCCTCCACAATGGGAGGCATTTTTGCCTTAAATTATAAGGTAAGGAGCCTTTACATTTTACTGAAGAGTCCTAAATATTATAGCATTATATCCCTAGTGGTTGAAGATCCTGAGTTGGATGCTGGCTGTGGAATAAGTTTTTCTTCCAAACAAGTCTAGTTTGCATCCATATTTTTAGGCATGGTGCTCACCTGTCCCTGACTGTCCTGTTTATTTACAGTGGACACTAACAGAGACACTAACAGATTGGTGCAAACACATATACTCATAACCCTTGGCCAGGACATAATACTTTTTCTGTGTCCTTTTCGATGTTTGAACCTGACAGAGTACTTTGACCAATTTCAGCACCTCTTCACTGCCTGGCAGTGCAATCTTACAGGGGATTGCTGCAGCCAGAATGTAAATGAGGCTGTCTATGGACTCCATATCCTCCACTTCTAGCTCCAAATTCAAAGTTACCTGTTTAAGGAGCTCTTAGTGAACCCAAACGTTATTCAACAGTAGCAGATGGGCAGGATCAGACACCACCTCAAGTGGGGATGAGGAGAACAACGTTAACGCTGTGGAAAGAGCTGGAATCTCCTTGATGACTGGCATAGCTTCCTCTCAAACCATTGCTAGAGTTTTGGTACTGGAGTCCAAGTCAGGTTCCTGCAGCTGCATGAGCTATGACTCGCTTCTCAGCTGCAGCTGCAGATGACCAACAGGAGCGTGTGGGGTCCTGGCATCAGGGCCGCCCCCCCCACCCCCGCCCAAGAGTTCCAATATTGCCAAAGTGTTGGCCAGTGTCCTAGTGACCAGACACCTGCTGCATGAATGACCCCAAAGTCCAGTGTATATGGCAGATCATGTGTCTATGATCAGGGAATGGATTCCCCCTTCTACTTCCAATGAGCACTCCTACTTCGGAGACCACGGTTAGACAGTCAATGCTTCTCCCTGCCAGCTACGTTGGGAAGTAGCGATTGGGGGAAGCAGACTGGCGTCATGACTCCAGAGACTGGTATCACAAAGAAGGAAATCAGTGCTTGATGAAAGAGAATGCCAAAGAATCTGGAATCAAGATGCCAGTGACAGATGATTGTAAAGGGCTTTCAAATGAATGTTCCTGTCCTTTTGCTTGCATGGCCTGAAGCCCCTTCACATGTGCTTCCCTAAGGTACTTGAAGCATCTTGCATAAGGATCGCTCCCTGGCATAGATTTATGAGAGGCAGCACGCCACTTTGAAACCCAGAGACCAGAGCATGCCACATCTCTGGGACAACCTCCTGCAATGGGACCACTATATATACCAACTAATCTAACTACTAACAACTAATAGGTAACTATAAACAAGAAACAGAGACCAAACTAGGAATACTTGTAAGCACAAGAGAGAAATATGTTCCAGGAACTATCACAGGACTGTAAGAAGGAACTGAGAGGGCAACGGGCTGGCAGCATCCATTATACTGATGCATGGCATGGAGTTCCAGGAGGTACTACAGCTGGCCCTAAGGATAGTATTAGGGAAAAAATACCTCAAGCAGCCATGAACATGGAATCGACATGAGCAAGCACTTGAAAAAACTAAGCGTCCCTGCTTAAATCAAATCCAATTTAAAGCAATCAAACTCTGGAGCTTTATTATTAAATCCCTCACAACAAACTAAACACTGTTCTTGGATAACAACTGTGCATTTTAAACAAAAGTTAATCACAATAAAAGAGCAAAATGTATTTTATCATATGTAATTATGATTTCTCACAGTATCCACAGGCCTGATTAAGTGCTGGAGTTATTCTGCCCATTCCAGCTTATATATGGAGTTGGGTATGAAAAGATTTGCTTTTTCTTGTTTTCTATCCTTTCTCTCTCAGTCTTCTATAGTACCATAACCATAATATTTTTTTTTTTTTTTTTTTTTTTTTTTTTTTTTATTTGCTTGACATTCTTCTAGCTGGAATACTGATAGAACTACCTACTCACAGCGAGTTACCAAAGCTGAGGATAGACGCACACAAGAAAATACCTGATCTGCAGGAACCAGAGATAAACACAGATGCTTTTTTATACTTTAGCTTTCTTATGTTACAAAAGCATCTTCATTCATTTTAAAACAAAAGTATTCTGAGCGGGGACTCTCCAGAGCAGTGAAAAGCTACTAAAAGAAATCAAAATTATAAGTGCACAGATTGTAAACTCTTTGAGGGAGAGACTTAAATGTTTGCGTGGTACCATACACCACTGGAACTTGAACTAAGTGGGGTCTCCGGAAGAAATAATACAAACAATGATTGTACAGTTTTTGCACAAAGAAGCCACAGCGCTGGTTATGTACCATTAGAAAGAAGCCAGAAATTAATTGTGTTTCAACAATATAGGAAAAGGCAACAATCAGCCAATTAACAGGTAATTAAAAGTGAACTTGAAAAACTGCCAAAAATAACTTCAGAAAGATAGGCCTTAGTCTTTACAACAAATACAAAACCAAAAGCGAGTATACATTGCATATAGGATTTCTCTTGGATGGTTTTCATAATGTGTTTTAGACCAAAACAAGAAACATATGCCTTTGCTGGAGTAAAAGAAGATAAGAAGTCCAGATTCTTACATAAGCCCAAGTGCTAGAAGTTCTTCTATTTTATCTAGAAGTAAACTTAGTATTAAGAACTTATTCTTAAGTCCCAAGTGGTAAATTTCTGCTAGGTAGATCAGGCTCAGTCAATTGTCCTTGA